AATGGCAATAACTTCCGAAACAAACAAAAGAATGGTTAATAAAAAAATAAACTGTTTTAATAGTAATAGATTGTTAAAATATTATGTTCGACAGATGATCCGTATTTGTATTCAAAATTGCAAGCTTTTAATCTCGAAATCTATTTAAATTTCTGGTTTAAAAATGCTTGTATTGCTTTTTCATTCTTATTTATTTTGAGAATTAAAATGTGTTTTTTAATTATCAAAAAATAATGGAGTATCCAGAAATCCCTTCATAAAATAATTCTTTAAGACTTTAAAGGTCAATCCAAAAAGGATAACATGAGATCGACCTTGACAATTAACAAATTCAATCGGTATCAAAATAACACTGCAAGTGACCTGTGACTCTGAAGGCAGCAGCTAACAAATATTATTAAAAGTTCAAACAATAAGTTGTCGACTTTATTCAATTGGCATGTGAGGTCAAAACCGCAGCAAATAAAAGTTTGCCGAGGCGACACCGCTCGAGGCGGATGTTGGCGACAGTTACCTTATTTGGAAACCGTCCAGACTCTAGAGAACTTTTATGTTATTTCAATGTGGGCAAACTGAAAAGATCGTGTTCACGCTTGCTACTTTTTAACGAGTTGCCGTAATACTGAGTGTTAAACTGTTTTACTACTAGTTTTCATACGGATTTTATAATAAAATGTCTAGAAATGGCATATTTACTCTAGCATCACACCTACTAAGGACCGATAGAGTATTATTTTACCATATACCAGCAGCAGTCATATCTGAATTAACTCCTGTTTTGACTTATAACATTGCTCCTATCATATACATCCTTATTTCAATAACTTTGTTAGCCATCCAATAACATAATTTTTAAAACACTAGAATTAGGGTATCTTATTTTAAGTAAATTGTGTTTTTATTCAATTTCCACTATATGGTATTATTTGTAACTAAATCTTCTTTCCCTCGATGAATCGAGATCATTTCCTGTGCGACAGGTATTAATGGACGTTTTCCTAAACTTCGAGTACGGACGACGAAGTTTCCTTGGCTTGACCAATAGGTGGCGGGTCGACCACCTGTTACGTCGCTACTAAATCTACTAAAGGATTTTTAGAATAGCTATTTGTAAACATCATAGTTGGGCTATTTTACTCTATCTTACTAATATAAAAATGCGAAAGTTTAGATGGATGGATGTTTATTAGAGTTTGTAGCCTAAACGGCTGAACGGATCTCGATGAAATTTCGCGTAGATGTGGAGGATAGTCTGGAAGAACACATAGGCTACTCAAATTTGGTTTTTAAAATTCCACTCGAACACCTTTATTATTAAAACAAACAGTTTACCAATTAATGGACGTCAAAATTAAATTTATTTTGAGTTTGAGAGTGAAGATGCTGTTACATATTTAAATGTCGTTTCAGGATTCGGTCGTTACTTTTTTAAATCAAACGCGGTTTAACATTTCGATTTTGAGCCTTTAATCAGAATGTTTATATACAAGTGTATATTGACATAGATTTAAAAATCAGCACACATATTTGAAGTAAGCATTCCATAAATTAACATGTTAGAGGCGGTATTTTTTAATAGTCTACATAATAACAGGTGTGCATTCACACATATTTTTATGAACGTATTCATTAATTTGATAATAACTCAAAACACGCATTTTATAGACATGTAATTAAATACAGATTTAATATACATACCTATGTTTCATTGGCTTTCGTATTTTGTAACGGTGCAGAAAAACTCCAATAATGCTGGGTTTCTGAACTATCCACTCATTTTGTCATTACCTATTGATTCACAAGCATTAGGTAGTTACGTATTTCGGAAACGCATTTCATGAAGTTATCGAACCAAAAATACTAACGAATTGTTAAACGTAGCTGGGAAACCGGTCATAAATGGAATGTTATATGTTAATTTTCTGATAATTCTTTTACGGATTTTTTAATTTTTATTTAAATAAAAAGTATGTCAACTTACGGATTCAATCCTTGTTTTTACCTAATATTACTTTTAAACGGTAGATTTTTAAAAGCTTGCTACGCCTTGATTAAGATAATGTTCGTAAAAACACTTTTTCTTACAATCTGGCTTTAATAATAATTAAATATTAATTGTTTAAAACAAATTTTACTCTCACATTATAGTATATTTATTAACCGCTTTTTCTATATAAGATTATTGTTACTTTGTTACTGTTCTCCAATTGCTAGGTTTTGAAATGAAATGAAAATGTATTTATTGCCACAGAATAGAAATTAGATTAGATAAAAAGACTTATTCTAAAGGTGACACATTCGTGGCAAAAGGTAGCCAGCTCAGCGTATGCAGGACGGACTAAGCCGTTCCTGCGCTGATTTTCAGCTGGCTCCTTCGCACTCAAGTAACATACATCATAATCATTATTAGTTTTCATTTTCAATAACAAAAAACAAATCAAATGCAGTTAACAGTATTAATTTGATGTGACGAATTAACCTCGAAAATTTTGGTCGAAATATGATAATTGCAACATTCAAGTTTTCATATAAATAAATTGTGCGCGGAGTTCTATTGACACGCAATTAATTCAATCATATATCACACTAATGTAACAAAAATTCCAATGTATATTTAAATTAAGACAATGATATAAAAATAAATAACATTGTGGCCTTAAATTTAAACTACCAATTCTGATATGGTATTTTAAAAAGAATAGATGATCACAGCATAATTAAATAATCTATATTAAAAGTCTGCGAAGAAAAGAATTCAACAGTTACACAAAAACAACAACAAAATCCACTTAATAAATACACGACAGAAGTATCTTTTTGTTAATTATCAAAATATAGCGAATTAAAAAGTTTTCGCGTAACGAAGTAGCCAAAAGCCGTCTTGCATACGATAATTGAACTGAGCTCATTTACATACAGATATCATTTACGTAACATGTTCGAGTAAAATCAACCGGCATATTGTCGAACTTAAATTCCTGAAAATCCGTAGAGGTCGTTGTACTTACCTTTTTAAGACTGCAGCTCCTTAATCTACTTAATGTCATTCGTTAACGGTACAAGGCATAAAGTGTCCAGTGAAGTGCGGCGGGATAATAACGGACAGGACCTATTTGGCAACGGTCCGTATCATTACGGTCATAAGTTATTTCGTCGAAGGAGTAAGCAGGCGGCAGATAAGGCGGTGCGCACTGCACCAACCGAATGGGATCTCGTTGCGTACGCCGGAGTGGCGCCGGCCACTTGGCAAAGCTTTCGGTCAATGTCCTTTGCCTCAATAAAAGCCTTCGCAAGCTTGAGCCAAAACAATTTCGCCAAAATTCTTGCCAATGCCCCAACACGCATGGCTTTACGATCCTTCCGCTGCAACGCCGGATTGGAAGCCGGATATTTGGCGGCATTACTTACTAAATACAATTTGATGTTATTATTTCCTGAATTAAGAGTTGTAACATTTATTTAAAGAAAAAAAATCTTTTGTTACTTATTATAATTTTATCAGTAAAACATATTCATTACTAATAACGTCCCAAAATATAAATAAAAAGGTGATGGTATCATGAAACTCTTCATAACAGGCAAAGTAAACAATAGAAAAATCGAAATGGAAGTGCTGCGATAATTTTACAAACATACTACTGAATACCGAAACATATCTTACACACTTCGCTTTGTAAAGTCGATTACAATATAACAGACGTCAAAGTTTTAATGGAATTTATAGTTTTAGCGTACCACTATCATTTAAGACGCTGTTAGACATTCAGATTTCGTTTCAGTATTATGCCGTTAGTTTAACCTTTAATCCAGGCAAAATATCTGTCAGTGTGCAAAGATGTTAAGACCATGTTATTTCTGTTAAATAACTATTTTAAAAGCAAGTTCGCTTGGCTGCAAAAGAATTGAGATTACGGTGCCGTCGCGGGACGAAATAATAATCCGTATTCTCAGAGCACCATTCTGCCTTCGGAGTTAACACTTATTTACTTTCTTAACACTCACCTCTACATTACAAGATATATAACATTTGATCATTGATTCAGAATTTAAGTCCCTTCAGTAACAATTACTTTAATTTACTTGCGAAAATATGCACTTCAAAAATCAAAGACGCGCATTTTATGCGCGGAAGTACGAGGTAGTAAACTGAAACACTCGACTATTAAGAGTGACTTACATTCGCGCTAGCCATGACAATGACTTTTCATCAAATTATTGCACATCTTTTTCACGGGACTAGCATATCCTGTTGGCAGTTTTAGTTAAATTAGATATTATTTTATATAACATTGTTTTTTTTTTCAAATTTGGAATACGATAAATACAACTAATTGTTAAAAGTCAAAAAGTTTCAGTGTTGTGTTAAAAAAAATAAAGAGTTTGAGACGGTGAACCTTGCGGATGGAACAGAAATGGAACAATGACGCTTCTAGTGTTTATAACCTTTATCGCTCTTTGCAATCTCTTGGATTAGAAAAGGTCTACGTTCAAACCTAAACAATAGTTTACTTGAACAATCTCGCACAAATAAGGACGTAAACTTTTAAAAGGTTCAAAAGTGTTATCAGTTACAACAGATTTCATGTAAACATTTTGCCTAATTACTAAAGAAACAAACACTCAGCATGTAATAAACATAGCCGCATTACGTGAAGTATAATTTATTAGGGCAAAATGTATGTAAAATATACCAGGTAATTAAAAACAACGCAATCAAAGGTCGTTTACCTTTAAATTGTTTTTTTTTTCAACTATCAAATTCTTCTCAAGGACTAGATTAATAAATTGAGCTAAGTGTTTTTTTGTAATTAAAATAAATTAGTTAAAACATGAAAAGAGTTATAGTTATTGAGAGGTATTTGTTTTTCTGTATTGGAGAGAAGATTGGACAATCTTTAAACATGAAATAGTAATTGATTTCAACTTTTAGTTCGTGTAAAAAATTTTAACTTATGTAACAAGTGAATCTGTAATTGAGGGTTATAATAGGAAACGAAAAGTTCTATTGAAATATAAATTTATTATCACAATTCATAAATAAGTTTCTAAATTCGAAAGTTCTAAGCTCTTACATCTAAATATAAATTAAAATATTCTAAGCAGACCGAAACATTCCTCACCAGGAGGAGCATTTGAGTCACACGTAATTTTTGTACTTATAATATATTTGATGGGCCATGATCTGCTACAAACAAATGATACATAAGTCTTTACAAAAAGATCGTTATTTTCTAACATATTTGAATACAGATCAAAATGTCACAATCGTGGCACGTTCAAAGGTCAAATACTCAAACATGAATTGGTCATCAATTTAAATGGGATCCATAAAATAAAATGAAACAAAGTATTGTCTACTTATATCAAAATACTGATTCATGATGAGGAAGATTGTAGGAAATATCGTTTGGTTCCGGGATGAAGTTATTAGTTGACCTTTTCTAGAACCCATTTTCCAGAGTATGGGGTCTCTAACCTCTTCACCTTAGGACGGAAACCATTCTCATCGGCGGTGTAGTCGACCCTGTACATGAAACCATCGGGCCCGAGGTACTCGTAGAAACCCGTTGAAGCGATGCCTTCGTCGAGAGTGTTGGGGTTCTTGAGAATTGCGTTTTCCTTGGCGCGGATTTTGTTTTCAGTCTCGAAGCTGAAATTAAAAATAAAAGTTAGATTTTTTTTAATTCAATTAAGAAAGTATAGGTTTCCAAATTGCCGATGAAGTTACAATTATTAATGTAAATAGACAAATTTCTTCATTTAATTAAAAGCCTACTTTCGTATATTTTCCGCAAACCAAATTTTATGGTTACCATAATCGCATTTAATTAATACTACTATCAAAAGCACCATACCTTTTAACCTAATTACATCGATTCTTAAAATATTTGACGCCTGACTTTGAAACATCAATAAGTCACGCGTTAAGTTCAGGTTATGCTAAGCATTAATGCCAAATTGTTATATTGCTATTCTAAACTATTATAAACAGTTTTGAACTCTAACCTAACAACGTGAGTGTCAAATTACGTATTTGTCAAGGCCGAATGCTAACAAGACAATACCGGTACATTACTAACGGATCGGTCTAAATACATTAAAAAATATAATTCAACATTTAAAATAATCATTCAGAAGCATTTTAAAAAGTGGAATTAGAAACAATTTGTATAACGGGGAATCTTCACAGACTTATAAATGCAAATGTATATGATAAGCTCGACATTCAAACGAAGCAAGGCCGAACTTATTCTAAACAACCTAATAAATAACGTTTATTACTAATTCCATATGTTAATTCTAATTTTTACTTCATTTGCGTCAAATTCTAGAACATAAGGAACTGGCGGCATTCCTAACATTCTTTGTATCGCTTTGTTAAGGAATGTACGCAAAATTAAAAGCTGTGGACGGCCTTGTCGCTTCAAGGCCGGTCTAATATTAATGGTTTTACATTAGTTAAACGCCTTGTAATTAATATCAGCTTCGAATTCTTGCATAAAATTATTGACCGTCACGTGCCTAGAATTTGAACTAAAGCTCCAATATAATTTTCGGGCGAATTTTCAAAGATTTCATTTCATTGTGGCTCGATGCTTTTATTTATATGTGAATATTTTACAAAAATCTGTTTTAAACTTTAGAGAAACAATAAGCTTTTGCTTAATCCGAGACTAATCGTTGTCTACTCCTTTTGTACATAAACTTAAAAATTTTATATAAACAGGAATAACAAGCTCTCACAGCTTTTAAATACTGTGCTTTTGATTATTTGGTGAAATTGACAATAATCTATTTTTGTTTTTTTTTATTCTATGATAATACTCGTATTATAAAGAGGAAAGATTTGTATTTTCGTATGTATTTGATTCACGCAAAAACTACTAGGCCGATTTTAAAAATTCTTTCATCACTAGAAAGGTAATAAAATCTGTGTCTGAAAATTACGAAATCCTGTATTCGTGTTTACAAATGTTTAGTAAAAAATGTATTCTTACTTGAAGTCATATTTATCCTCATCGTAGACGTGCTTTTGGCTGATGATCTTGATGCCGTTGTTCTTGTAGTATCCATCCTTGTAGTAAGGAATGTCTTTGGGTGGGGTCATCACCAGTCTGTAGCGGTCTTCTGTAGCCGCGCTGACGTAAGGCTCGTAGTCGTGTGTGTATGGACCGAAGCCGCCGTTGTAGGGGTTATCGATGTGTATGTAAGGGTTCGGTATGTGGATGTATTTACCCTCGTCAGTTGGTATATATCTAGGAAGAAATGTAAATTTTTAGTCAAACTAAATTTTTGAATTTTGATGCTAAAGAGCTTTTTTTCATTTAAAGTTTTTACACGATGTTTACTTAATGACTATGATCATGATGTTTTTTTTGCGTTTATAATTCTAATTGGATCACAATTAAATCATTTTTTTTCTTATTAGTAGCAGTCTTATTAGCCACAAGTAAGATCGTTAACTGTTCTAATTAGGTTTTTATTCTTATTAATATAGGAATTTGCTTTAATAAAATAATAATAATGTTATTATTGCAATTCTAAAGTGGTTTGATATCACATAACATTAACATTTATGTTTATTTCTTACTAGTTGTTTATTTTATTTAAATTATGCCCTTTGAGGTATTTCTTAAGCCTATAAAATACATCTATAATGTTGTCTAGTTCGCTTTGACATTTACTTACTTGCCGTTATTTCCAAATTTATAGGGATGCCATTTGCCGTCTTCTTCAGGTGTACCAGCAACGGCCACCACGCAGATAGCAATCAAGTACTGTAAAATAAAGAAAAATAATAAGTTTATTTTTTAAAAATAGATATTATAAAGCAATAAGATACATATTATGAAAAAATATTTCGTAATACAAAAATAATATTAAAATTAAATTTAGAAAAATTGAATAACAAAAATTGTCAAAATTTTACCTTAATAGAAATCATCCTTAAAACACTCAGTTGAAAAAAAAGTAAAACAAAAAACACTTCAAAATTGTACAAACGTACAGTTCACACTTGTTCACTGTAATGATATTCGAGATCACTATGCGAAAACCTATTCACGGTCGTACTCTTTGTGTGTTCACTCCTTAGAGAATTTCAAATCATTGTGTTGATTTCGAAATCGACGCTTCGCTTTTATACATTTGCAACATCAACACATCACTTGCAGGAACAACACACGCGCGCAGACCGCGCTACGCGCACGCACACATCAAACGTCCCACGGATTTTTTTTACATCTTTGCATACCATTGTTGGGCCAAGTTACTTTATTGGGGTATCGGTGTCATACAGAAATTATCGTTTCAAATGGTAAACAGTAAAACAACTTTTTTCGACTACTTATGGCACTAAACACAATAGCTAAGCTTTCCAGAAGCTTTGAAGCTTTTATTAAAGCGCAACTCATTTGTCTACCTCTCTTATGCTATAAATATCGTATTTTCAACAACTGATCAAATTTGTTCAAATACGTGTGGTATAATAAAACATTTTTTTATTTAATTAAAAGTTCTTTATGCTTTATCTAATTAATCAAATTTTCATAGCCACTAGAAATTAAGGATAGGCAATTTTCACAGGATGTTGGTATTTAGAACAAAAGTTCTGTTTTGAATATCACGTGACTATCTGCATTAGAAACTAGCGCATCCTTGTTAAATTTCACAATATTATTATTTTAACAAATGAGGCACAATTTAAAATCGCATAATAAAGCGGCGGATTTACCCAGTGTGATACTTTCATCTTTCTATTTATATTAAGTGATTAATAATAGATGACTGTTGTTTTATGAGTTATTTCATATTTTTTATAATATTTAATACACTTATTTTACCATCAGGTAGAAACGTCTGCGCATGGATAAGATCTGAGAAAACTAACCTGATTAAAATATGCAGATCAATTTGCATTTATATTATTCTATTTATCATTGAAGCAAATGGTAATATATTTTACTATTATAATTATTTGCCCATTAAATACACCTTTACACAGTAAAGTGTACTGACTTTGTAATACACCTGTGTTATGAAAATTACCACCAAAAACACATACCAATACTTTTAGTACTTTAAACTCCAGGGTATCTTAGAAGAGATGGATTGGAAAGTATCAAATGCAAAAACATACATCATCTACTGATATCTCCTTTGTTTAATCAAAGCTTCTAATTTTACTAGCGATCGTGAGAGTTATTTTCATATTAACATACATAAACTAGTCAAAATAGTTGTTCTAACGAGTTCATTATACTATGCGTAATATTTCTTATTGGCGCCGTCTAGTGAATAATGTCGTCTTGAACATATTAACATTCTCGGAATTAGGTTTGTGTAAAATCATCTTAATAATGATAGAAGTTTCCACATTATAGTGAAGCTTATTCATCAATATGACGCAGAGGAATCGTATCCTTGACGCTGGGCTGCCGGTAAGAGATAATAAACATCGTGAGTTACCGCTTTATGAAATACTGGTGAAGGTGTTATGATAATATCGTAAGTCAGTTCACGGAAATTCTCCACAAGTGGACCTCATATTATATTCCTATAAATATACATCTAAAGAAAGGAATGCTTTGTGTTCTTAAGTGTATGCTTGAATTAAAGATTTTTTATACCTCTCTTGGAGTATTTTTAGCAAGTTTATTTTTAATAAAATTTTCTTCCGTCTTAATTAATGTTTCCATCACCAGCTCGCTATGCGTCCTCACTTAGGGGATCAGAGCCTACCCCAAGTTAGGATGACTAGGCTTCATTCAAACATAATGGCCCACTGTCGGTTGGTTGACATCACACATGTCTTTGAATTTCTTTGCAGATGTGTACAGGTTGCATCACTATGTTTTCCTTGACCGTAAGAACGTCGGGTAAATTATGTACTCATACATAATGATATTTGAAAAATCGAAAATTACATTGGTACATGTTGGGGTTCAAACCCAGATCTGTGGACAAGAACAAGTGCTCATACCCCTGAGCCGCCGACGCTCATAATTAATGTCTTATGTATATTAAATCTTACTAATATTACGAATGCAAAAGTTGAAATGTATGGATGTTTGTAAGTGATTTACGCCTAAACAACTGAATCGATCTCGATGAAATTCAGCAATGATTTAGAGCATACCATAGTCTGGATGAACACGTAAGCTACTATTATATATACATTTTGTTTTTTTTTTTAAATTGCAAACAGTCGCGGCCAAAGCTGATTTTTTTTATTAATCCTCTCTTTCTGCGTTTTTCTTAATAATAAATTCTACATACTATGTAGTTCATTGGCAAAATGGCAAATGCCACATTTCCCTACTTTTTTACTAAGCCTCAGACAGTGTACCGTACTTTTTATTGTTAATATTTGCGGTATCATGACGTCGATATCTGATTGATCATCTCAATATTAGGAACGGTCACGTATTATGAATAGATCGTAATTCTTTAACGTTTTTATATCTCGACGTGAATAGCCGACACCTAACCGAGTACAAAGTGTAAAGTGTTAAGTGGGCCTGCACTTCAATTAAAATTTGGAACACTTTGAAATACTTGAAGAGTTCTACTGCTTTCAACTTATTCAATTAATTCATTGCCTAGATAGTTTGGAGTGTGTAAGTTTTTTATAAGATATTTCATCTTAATTAAACTATTAGGTGCTCCTTGTGGGGTTTTTATCATATCTATATCAGCTTTTAAAGCTATCTTCTGGCGATTTTTTTTTTCATAGTCAATTTAACGCATACACCTTTGGTGTATTCTCTTTATAAGCAACTTAGATACCATTCCGACTTAGCACTTAAGTAATTGGAAATAATCTCTAGTACTATCGAGTCGTGATCAAATTTATCCTTCTCCTGTCAAAATTAAGGAGTTGCAGTTTGTTTTAAACCTATGTTTCATGGAACTTTCCAATGTTCAAATACAAATTAAAAATGTGAAGGAAACTAAAATTATGTCAGATTGTTATCTGTCTTTAATTTGCCTAAAATTAAAAGTAAAACGTATTGCTTATGTTAACGGAATTTGAGATGATATTAACTGTCTCATACATCCGGATTTAATACATTAAGAGGTGAAAACATCCGTTTGAAATTATAAGAATTCAATATCAACGTATATTGGGTATTTATTATAATTAAATTGTCCCAAACACGTAGTTATTCGGACTCTTATCAGTTCCTCTTATTGCTTCAACGTGATTCACGTAATTTCGACTAACGCATTGTTTTTAGAATTCCAAGAGTAACAATAACAATGAATCGAAGTTAACTAAGAAATATTTGTGAGAATTTTCCTCGTACAGTTCAGCAAAGGTCACAATAACCGATAACTCCAAATATGGGAAACCCTGATCGAATTTTGGATGACAAGCAAATTACTTATGCGTGCACTTTTTCTTAGAAATCCGAATAATAATTTTGACCGATATTTTTAAATATTGATAAAAATTATCTGACCTTTTATATAAAGACGAGCTATCGCCCGCAAACTTCGTTAGCACAGAACATTCCCGAGTGCATCTACCTTTTAGCAGCTACCTTCCAGTCAAAATCTAGTCCAAATCGGTCCACCCGTTCCAGATATAGCGATCCGGTCGCCATTTTGACAATGCGGAATTTAAAAAAAGTATCCTATAATATGTCCGTATACGTCAGCTACCCTTCAGTCAAAGTCTGGTCGAAATCGGCCCAGCCGTTTCGGAGATTACCCGGAACAAATACAGCTTGCGGACAGACAAACAAATTTTTTTTAAATGCGATTTTCATTATCTGCAACGCAAATACATCATCTTCCCGAAATCTAGAATTTTTCTTTTGCTATTACATACAAACACTCGAATTTTATTATATGTATAGTTTAAGACAAAAATGGACTATTAAACCAATGTGTATCTTTTTACCACATCAAATAACATTAGTTAAGATGTGGATAAAAAGTGTCAATGTTATTTTATTAAAACTGCACCATCAAAGTATAAATAATAAGGAAATCAGCTCTGAATATATCCGAGTAAATAATTTTAAAATCATTAATAAATTCTTGATTAATACGGGTCAAATGTTTTAAGTCAAGATCATAAGTCAATGATGTTGATGACCGTTCGGGTGTTTACATAACATAATGTAATAATTGTGCGCAACAACAAACGTAAAAAGACACCTATCATTTACTTGTATACAGTAAGGAATACATAGTAAGGATTTTTATAGAAAATTCTATGTGCCAATTTATTTTATTTTGCTAATATATGAGTACTGCCGGTACAAACAATGGTGTAAGAGAATGTATTAACCCATATTCATAATAGCGTAGGTGTTAGCTAATTGAAAAGTCAAGTAAAGTTATAATGCCACGATTAATTGAGCTAAAATATCTGATCTACATTCTTCAAAATAACATTCAAGTATTAAAATATAAATATATACCCATGTGCACACCAATTTAAACTGCCAGCGTCTTAATAATATTGCATCTTTTATAAACATGCTTATTTCATTTCCTGATAAGTGTTAGGAATAAACCAATAATTTAACCTCCCGTCGAGCCCGCCTTAACAAAACAAAAAATTATGTCTTTATTCAACCCAGTAGCTAGGGCGTTCATGATATATTAAGGCAAACCACGCGAGATGGCACACGGGTTTTATTCACCATAAAATTATTCTTCCGGACAACTCTTTTGTTTAAGAATTGATCGTATACTCGAAAAATATTTGAAGTTAAATTCGCGATCGCCCTTGATGTGCTGTATTCAATGTTCTTTCGATACTGAAAGCCTACGCACTCGAAAAGAGGTTATACCGTATCGGATAGTGTCATAAAGCCTTATGCCTTTACAGTGACAAATATTTATGTAGTAACAAAATATTGCGAAGGGATAAATCTTTTTAATTTATTATTACCTCACAAGCCTAAAATAAGAACCTATGGCCGATAAGAATTTATATATGATTTATAAAAGATATTAATTTTTGTATCTGTCATCAATCTTCTGATAACTGTTGTCCTTAAATTGTCATAAGGTATAGATTTCATCTATATCTATACTAATATTATTAAGAGGAAAGGTTTGTATTTTTAGTTATTTGTATGTATTGAATAACTCAAAAAATACTG